CACACACACACACACACACACTCTCTCTCTCACTCTCTCTCTCACACACACACACATACACACACACACAAGGAATTTGTCTTGGTGACAGGAGCTTCCAGTGCAGAAGAAAGTACACACATAGTGCAAACATACATGATAGTGCAGACATGCATAGGAATTACACAGTAGAGATGAAATATAACAGTAATATAAAAAAAACAATTAAATAATGCAATATAATTGTTTGAATGAATGTACAGATACTGTATGCTATTTACAAGTGTGCAGTTTATGTAGTTTACAATTTTCAGATGCTATGTATAAATGTATCGGTTATAATGGGCAATATAGCCTGCGGGAAAAAAACTGTTCTGGTGATCGGTGCTCTGTAGCGCCGGCCAGAGGGCAACAGTTGAAAGAGAGAGTGGGCTGGATGTGAGGGGTCCAGAGTGATTTTCCTTAGCCCTTTTCCTCACTCTGGAGGTGTAAAGATCTTGGAGGTTGGGCAGGGGGAATCTTCTCAGCAGTCCTGACTCTCCGTTAGGGCAGAAAATCTTAAATTCATAAAGTTATGGCATTAAATGTTGCTTGCACTACATTAAGCAGATATCTTGAAATATCTAAACCAATATACATTTGCTTGAGATGGAAAAATGAAGATTTGTTTTCTGAGAAATTTAACACAATTTAAGTGAGTTTATGCATTAAACAAGAATGAAAACCTGTTTTGCCTTTGAATTGAGGTTTTCTGAGCCCATTCACAAATATTTGTTCTGGTTTTAATCTTAATTTCAATCAATTGCTCAGAAAACAGGACTTATGTCATTTTGCATCCTTTAAGAATCTTTAGACGAAAAAACCAAGACAAAAATACTGAGGAAGATCATCACGTCTTTGCAGTGTCATCAGAAGGTTTAAGTTATTTCCATCATATCTGCTTTTTTCAGATTCTGAAAGTTCTGTTTATATGCAGCCTTGCAATCTGATTCACATTTGTTTTCATATTCAAAACAAAATCGCAGCGCTTGTGTAGCGCCCAGTCGCCATGTTCAGAACTGGATAAAGACACTGTGATCAGAATCAGAATTAGCTTTATTCGCCAAGTGTGTGCAAACACACAAAGAATTTGTTGTGGTTTTTAGGAGCTCTTGGTATCTTCAAAGCTGGTGTTTTAGGAGATCGTCATAATGTCACCAGAACTACTGTGAACATAATGCCTCGGCATGGCTAAAAAAAGAAAAGAAAAAAAGGCTGACATGTATGTCAAAAGAGCTTTTTGAGCAAATATTTATGAACTTTCCAGTGGATGAGACTGAATATTTACTAAGACATGAGGCATAAGTAAACATGCATATGTTCGTATGATGCAAAACCTATGTAAACATGCGGATCACGTTACTGCGCAAGGTTGTTTTTTCTTTTTAATCTAACTGAGAAAATAGTCGATTGTCTCTGTTGATTATTCCAGGTCTACACCATTTTAATTCAGTCAGCAGTTTGATTGAGGTATTAACATGAAGGCTTTTCAATCTGATTGAGCCATCATTAAATGTAAACGTAGCTATTGTCTTCTACAATGTGCAACACAAGAAAACTTAGTTTAGTATTTCATGACCCTTTAAGTAAATGACCACACAGAAAAAGTGTTTAGCAGTTTAGAAGAACTGATCAATACATGATTAGCTCTGTCTTGGATAATACACATTACTTTTGTGATGATTGTCACTATTAGTCACAAATTTATGGATTTAGATTTATAATAGTCAACTGTAAGATTTATGTAGTTAACGTAGAAACGTTTTTTCTCCTCTAGAATGTGTTTGTTTTGAATATGTATGGAAGTCTGTTTCCGCCACTGAATAAAAAAATATAAAAGATTATCAGAATTGCATGATATAAAGTTGCAATTGAGTTATAAAGTCAGAATGTAAATAAGAAAATATTTGTCTTTTTTTTTGTCTTTATAACTCGAAATGGTGAGTTTGTCTCAAAATTCTGAGAATTTCGAGAAAGTCAAAATTGCAAGATCTAAACTAATAGAAAAAAAACATCAGAATTAAGCGATATAATTGCAATTGTGAGAAAAAAGTCAGAAGTGCGAGTTTATATCTCACAATTCTGATTTTATTTCTCGCAATTGAAATGAATCAAAAAGTATTTTCAAGAAGCTAGAGAATGTATTGACGTATTTTGTTCTCGATTTATTCCTTACGTTGTCTTTAATTGCTTTTAAAAAGGTCTCGAAAAAGTCTTCAATTTACCTTCATAAAACCCGCACCGTTGCATTTTAAATACATTTTGAGAATTATTTTATTACTGTTTTGCTTTATTTTTATTTGAGACTTTTATTATTTTTATTATTAAAAAGTCTGAATTGCGAGTTTATATCATGCAATTCTGAGGGGAAAAAGTCACAATTGCGAGACTTAAGGCCCGTTCACACCAAGCACGATAACGATAGTTCTAAAAATCGTTCTCAATATTAAAGAATAGCATAGTTCACACCACAACGATAACGATACAGAGGAACGATATCGTTGTGATCACTTTCAAAACGATTTTTTTTCCAGCTGATGAACGATAAAACACTGACAGCCAATCAGAATCCATCCTGCTGTAACGAGCTCAAGAATTTAAAGCGGCAGATGCGCGTGCGCTTAGAATAAACAGACGATATCCTTCGCTGGTGTGGACGCTAATATCGTTATCTTTATAGTTATCGGTCTTGGTGTGAACGGGGCTTTAAACTTGCAATTGCAAGAATAAAAGTCCGAATTGTGAGTAAAAATTATTTTGCATTTTTTATTAATTTTTTTATTCTGTGGAAGAAACTGGCTTCCATAAATACGTGATTATTTGTAACACTTTTTTTTCCTGTTTTTTTTGCCCATAGATAATGCAATACCTATAAAGTCATGGTTTAGTGACCCCAGTGACACAGCACTTCTTAACCTGCTGCCCATGCTGGATGCACTACGGTAAAGATCTAGAGCATTCAAAACATGCAAAAATGATTTTTACTTGAACTCCACTTCACTATGTGTTCCCTTTTCAGATTCACGGCAGATGTACGATCCGTCCTGAGCAGAAATCTCCACCAGCATCGACTCTGGTGATCATCCGACCAAGGGCTTTCTTCAAGTCCGCTCTTCTTTTTTTGCTTTTTGTTTTTTTCCAACTGCTTCCCTCTGCCTGTCCATTCTCCCTCGACTCGTCGCCTCCCGGAAACGGCCTTACGTGAGGGCCATCGGGAGGAGAGTGTCCCGAACTCAAAGGGGATGGAAAAGGCAAACTTTAGGATGTTTCGGGAAGCTTTTTTTTTTTATTTTTTATCCCTACGTTTTTTTTGTCCCTTCTTCAAAATGGAGCCTCTGCCTTACAGCTCTACCTATGCTGATTGTGTGTGTGAGTTATGTTTGTGGTATGCGTGTATGAGGACATCTGCTGTTTTTCTTTTTAAATATTTGAAGATATTTGAGGCAAGAAAAAAGACAGACCTTTTCGTGACTTGCGTCTTCGATCCCAGCTTGGGACGTCATACCTCACTTCTAAAGGTGGTGCGAATGGAGATCTGCTCAGAACTGGCCAGCAGCACTCTGCACATCCAATAGAGTTCACTGGAAAACTATTGTTGACACGGATTTATTACATTACGTTATGACAGACTTTCAGGGTTATCATGGTAGAGTTATATATGCTATAATTGAGGTACTGTCTTTGAAGACATGGGGTTTTAATGACTTGTATGGTAGGCCTGTTCAAATTCGGATCATGAAGATAAATTCTGCAGCAGATTCTTAAGTTTTTTGGCAGTAAATGAATTGGTCATGATTATCAGGGAGGATGTAATAGAATACGAGCTTTGAAGAAGCTGAACGACAGATTTTAAGCCTTTCTGCGCTAATTGTTCTCTACAGAATGTATGTGGTTGGTTATGAAATCCTACCACTTGGACACCTTTTTACAAATGTTTTTGTTTTCCTGAAAATGTAATAATGGCAAGACTTGAATTTATAAAACTTAATTGAAGAGCTGACTGAGCAACAGACTTTTTTTGTACTCAAGGCTAAGTTGGTTTCTCTGTGCACCTGTCAGATAATGTCAGTTCTGTTCTCATCAGTTGTTGAGTCTCAAGGCAGCTTCCTGGGACACAAGTCCGTAGACCTGTGCACGTTACTAATAAAAACGTGTCACTATCCTATACTATGGGTTCAGTTTTCATTTACGCTCTCATTAATAGTTTAAGGGAACAGTTGCAGAAAACCATTTCTAATGCAAAATTTTCTCTAAGCAACAAATATTTTCTACCATCCAGATGCATAAAAAAAAATAGGATTTTACGTAAAAAA